GTCTACCGAGCTGGAGCTACCATAGTGTGCAGTCCTACCGACTGGAGCTACTATAGTGTGCGGTCTGCAGGCTGGCTGCTATAGTGTCACGGTCTACCAGCTGGAGCTACTATAGTGTGCGGTCTACCAGGCTGGAGCTACTATAGTGTGCGGTCTACCGAGCTGGAGCTACTATAGTAATGCGGTCTACCAGCTGAAAGCTACTATAGTGTCACGGTCTACCAGCTGGAGCTACTATAGTGTCTTGGTCTACTGGCGAGCTGGGCTACTATAGTGTGCAGTCTACCGAGCTGAAGCTACTATAGTGTGCGGTCTACCGAGCTGGAGCTACTATAGTGTGCGGTCTGAGCTGGAGCTACTATGGTGTGCGGGTCTACTGAGCTGGAAGGCCACTATAGTATGCGGTTTACCGAGCTGAAGCTACTATAAGTATAAAGGTCCTACTGAGCTGGAGCTACTATAGTATGTGGTCTACCGTAGTTAGGGGAGATAAGATATTAGATTGTTAAGTTAGGTCAGGCTAATGACTAGTGTATCCCGGTAGAGCACATCCAGCTCGGTAGGCCGCATACTATAGTAGCACCAACAGGGGCGATTCTACGGGGGGGCCAGGGGGGGTCCATGGGCCCCCCCCCAGATTTTGGGCTGGCCCCTGGGTTGGCCCCCCACTTTTTATTCTCAAAATTGTACCGTGTGAACTGAAACCGCACCATTGCCATTTGCCATTGTGTATAATGTAACAGGTGTATGCGGTGCCCATGTCTGAAAACGTAAACGTTGTCTCCATAATCTCAATTATGTGTGAAGCGTGAGATCATTCATTTTTTCGCTGATGTATGTACAGACATTGTAAAGACACTGCTATATTTTTCAATGTTTGTTATGTGGTACATCCGCCCTTTATGTGACTATGTGAGCAATAATACAGTTTTAGAGATTATGTTCAAGTGTGTCAATACTCCAATGAATCATGATTAGTGGAATAAGAGCGTTGCCATTATACCGCCATATGCTGATTATTTTAGGCTGGCGTCATTTGTCAATCAAATTGGTGTAATAATGCCAAAAACTGCATCTTGCAAGTTGTACACAGGTTTGGCTTTGCGACCCCAACATTTACCTTGGCTCCAAAGGTCCCCCCACTTTCGGAAGGTTAGAAACGCCACTGAGCACCAATACCCTGTACTTATTATAGTGAGAAGAACGTGTTTTGAAAAAAAATGAACAAAATCTAACGATTCCTGGTAGTAGTGGTGTTCTCATAAATTACCACTTCTTCACGTACAAAGCACGTAGAGACAACAGTGTTAGTGCAGTGTGATCAGTTTTCACCGAGCTTTACCCAGCAGCTTCCTTTATCCTTCATGCCCCGCTCACTACAGGCAGATAGTACCCCAGTGCACTGCAGGGTGAACCTCCCAACGCTCATTAGGGGGATGAGCAGGTGATAATAAATTAACATATTAACATGGACATAACAAGTGTTAGTACACATGTGAATAGCATACGTGTGTCTTCAAAGACACCTGCTATCCTAATTTGTTTAGACACCGACATACAATAACTATAAAAAAATTTACAGCTTATCAAGCACTACCGCATAACTGTCAACTATGACCTTATTATATTAAATTCTACCCAGTATTGGCACATAGTGATTAAAATACTGCTCTGTACTTAAGTAAAAAGTTTTCGATTAGATCAAAGACTACAGACTAGATACTTTCATACAGCAGACATGTTCAGTACAGTACAAACCAATTTCAACCTATGTGCCGTCTATCTAGCTGAAATAAACATGCCTCACATGTAAAAATTCACCTTTGGGAAAAATTACCTATTTATATTAATAGAATCTACTTCGGTCTCCTTTGGAAACTTACTTAAGCATTTACATTTTTTTAATACCCCGGTATGCATTTTCACATAACTTATTAAATTTAATTTAAATTCTACTAAAATAAGCCAAATTTGCCAGAAGGCTTTAACTCACAATCTTTAGTTACGCAAGAATATTGCACTAACAAGTTAGGAGATTGAGCTCCCTCTCTTGCTCGACCCCCTGTCACAGGTGGTGCGAGTTGTGACTTGTGACATACACCACAGTCTCCCTGTAAACTTAGTGACGATAGGAACAGTACCGCAACACACTACTGCTAGTACTGCACGATCTCATAAATTGATATACAGTATATATATATATACTTTATTTAAGCTCTGTACAATAAACCTACAAGGAAGACTTCTGCGACGGCCACAACACCAACATCTCCATATACTGTACTTTTATAACACTGCAATTCTGACTAATGTAACATCAATAGAAGCAAACATAATATTATAATATTACCATCTGTGAATTCATCAGCAGCTTCACTTCCCTCTGAGTCACCCACAAAAGACGGAATCAACTCCATGTGCATGGTAGCAGTACTGTCCATCTAGCCAATATGAGGTTTATGAAACTCGAGCGATTATTTACCTTTTTGATCATCTTTTCACCCTTGACTTTGATGGTCATGTACATGCACTACGAGTTCCCTAAGTTGTGGTTCCTGTCCAAGTTTGATTTTAATAAAGAGGATAGGTACACAATCCGCTGCACATCAGGTAATAAGTGCGAATTACGTCTCCACAACCACTTCAAGCCTAATGTTGAGAAGAACCTTATGATTCTCGCAAAGCATATGAAGAAAGTCACCACGACGAATTTCCACCTAGATCGTGGTAATGACTCACATTTACAGGTAAGATCCACTGCCGAAACAAAAGTTGGTTTTAGGGTTAACTCACAACAAAACCCAGAATCTAACTTAAAACAAAGCTCTGAACTTAACTTACGACAAAACGTCCAACATTCAAGTTTACAAGAAGCAAGAGAGCAAGAACAAGACGTTCCTGAACATGGTTGTCTACCTTTACCCCCCAAAAATCTGGTCCACAAGGTTCCCTTACAAGGTAACACGGCATACCCAAAGATTCTCTTTGTAACACCAGTAATTATAGTTTTACATAACTTTTTAACAAATTTTATTATTTTTCATAACTGTTTTCAGTGAGAATGATAATACTGCATAATATACAGTAGTATATATATATATATATATATATATATATATATATATATATATATATATATATATATATATATATATATATATATATATATATATATATATATATATATATATATATATATATATAAAGTAATAATAATGATGCTAACAATTTATAATAATAATGCTACTGATTGACGAAAAAAATTTGATAAAGGATGGTGTTTGGGTACTTAATGCATATAGAAAATACAAATGTTAGTACTGTACAACGCTTTGGATTTCAGCAACTGTGTCACAGCTGGAAAGGGCTTGCACAAAGGAATGATTACTGATGATGTGATATATCTTCTAGTAGCAACCAAAATACTGTAACTGGAGATATTGAATTGTTAGATCCTTGTTACTTTTGGACTAATTTGTGAATGGGAGGATGACTCTCGAGACTTGTAAATATATACAGTACACAGGGGCGGATCCAGGAATATCAAAGGGGAGAGGTGGGGCGTCCAAGAAGATGTGGGTGAGGGAACATGGCGAGCGAAGAAGCCTACACAGCTTTGGGGGGGGGGTGGGGGGGGGACTGCATTTTAAGGTCACGTGCACTTGATATTAAAAGATATTCCGAGGTCAATAGTAATTACTTTTTACTATAAAAAAACGCCTGAGTACAATACTGCATCAAAGAAAAAGTATTGGAATTTTCTGATGAAAAGGACCCCCGTACAGTTTATTTTTCTGTAACAATAAAAACACACACACACACACATACAGTATGATCTTCATTTACGCGGTCAATTGAACCCGTGGAGGTCCGCGTAAAAAGAGAAATGCGTAAACGAAATAACAGAACATATGGGATTAATTGAAATAGAGACTGGGCCGACCCCCAAACCCCACTTTTTCCGACACAATGCGTACGTTGTAGTAAAAATAGTATCATAATTTTATGATGGTATGCACACACACATAATATAGAAGAGAAATATCAATAAGAGAATAATATACTGTACCAGGTAAAAGAAAAATCAAGGTTTAACACTTACATTAGTAGAAGAGATGGGTCGGCATACAGGAATGGCGGCTGGTTCTGAGGCAGAGGGCAGATTAGTTGCCCTCCGGTGAATCACTATCACTATTCACAAAGGTTTGCAAGGCCTCCCTGACAAACCCCTCAAAGTCCATATCGTCGCTGTCACTATCACTGACTTGGGCCGGCTGTGGTTGTGGTGGGTTGCGGGCGAATAAGTCCGTAATACTACGTTGACGACTAGCATTGATGTTGTCGTAATACATCTGGACATACGGCTCCATAATTTTCGACAGAAGGTTATTAGACACTTCATGCCGATGCTTGACTGTGTCTTTGTCAAGGATGAGCTTGATTTTCTCCCCCAACTCGATGACTTCCTTCACATAACCATGGCTTGGTCCAGGTTCAAGGTTTTTCTGGGGTGGTGGGGGTCCAGCGGAAGCCATTGTGAGGGGAATAGCGGGCACAAGAGAGAACTGTATACGCGGAGACTGAGAACAATGAGAGTGGCCCGGCTAGGTCAGCGACTTCTTCCCTCTGGTGGCAGGGCACGTCATGTTACATTAGACCAATCACAGCTAGCGGCGGAGGGAGGTAAGGATGCGTGACCCAATCACAGTCTGATACTTCATATGACGTCAGCGATAACGTAAGAGCGACCTTATGCGCACCCCTCCCCGTGCCGCTTCCCGCGTATGGTCAAGAATGGACAGCGTGAATAAAAAATGACGTGGCGCGTCTGGACCTCTCACGCCGCTCGCCGAGTAAATGATGATATTCACCGAGTAATTAAAAAATTTCATTCTGGCAAGGTGCGGCGTAAATGACCAAACGCGTAAACAAAATCTGCGTAAATCGAGACTATACTGTACGGGATATATATATATATATATATATATATATATATATATATATATATAGATAGATATATATATATATATATATATATATATATATATATATATATATATATATATATATATATATATATATATATATATATATATATATATAGATAGATAGATAGATAATAGATAGATAGATAGATGATAGAGATAGATAGATAGGATAGATAGATAGATATATATATCTATATATATATATATATATATATATATATATATATATATATATATATATATATATATATATATATATATATATATATATATATATATATATATATATATATATATATATATATATATGGAAGGTATCTGATGTTTTTGTACACATAACGAATGTAATATGGTACACAGATTGCAGTTCGCCCCATGTTGTGATGCACAGCGGTGGTCGTCTGGGGAACAAGATGTGTCAGTTCTTTAGTCTGTACCTCCTGCGACACTTCTTCGGCATCAGGGTGAGTTATCTGTATGAAAAATATCCGACTAGCTACAGCATTACTATACCCAAAGACAAACCTTTCAATTTAACTTAACAAAAGGTTTATTTACCTCAAGGCCATCCTATGTAAACTGTAGCTTAACCTAACCAACCTCTAACCTTACTGTAACTCTAAACAAGCCTAATGAATAAGTTAACCTAACCTGCCTCTAACCTTATCGTACAGTAACTCTAAACAAGCCTAATGAAAGCCTTACTAAATTCATTCCAGCCCTAAATACTGTACATTGCTGTTTAACTTAACCATCTCTTGCAATATTGTAACTCTAACAGAACCTAATCTGATTTTAATAAAACATTACGGTCATTACCCTAATCTTATCTCACATAACTTGTGCTATATTTTACATGCTGTATATCTGTCCCAACCTCTATTGTTTTAATATTCCTTTTCTTTAACCTGGCTTTATTTTAACCAATTCTAATTTTAATCTATCATAATATGACTGAACTGGAAACAACCAAAACTCTAACCTTATTCAAGCATTTCCTGACCATAACCTAACCTAGCCAGATTTATCTCTAATCTAAACTAACTTCTGCTTATTTTAACTTCAACTTAACCTGAGATGACTGTAGCCTAACCTAAACTTTGTAGCTTAATCTTGTGCAACTATAGCATATTGTACTTAACAACTTTTGGAAGACAAACAAAGGTAGATCTTTGGCTTTATTAGAGATGCCTGGGGTTCCCTTCAAATACTAAAAATGAAGAAATATATAACATAATACTGTATATCCTACAATGTGGTCAGGAAAATAACTAAGAGAGCTATCCATTTTTTTAGGGGAGCCACACAATGTTAGAATTATTCACTGTTCTGAAGGTTAGAATACATTAAGTTAGGTAAGACCTTTAAACCAATGAACTGTTGAATATATTATTGAATTGCAACTTGCATATACTTGATAGTACAGTTTAAAATCTCATCACAAGTCAGCTTTATTGCCAGTGGTTTCAGTAAGCTATGATGAATAAGTAGTTGCTATGGGTGATACATTCCATTTTGAGGATTCTGCTTTCTGCTGACAAATTATAATGTGCTGTACCTTACATAGAGTCAGGTTAAGGCTACTTTATGTCCCTGGTTTGTTGGAGGATTTGGTAATTTTATAGCCAATGATCTTGGTGACCATTTTACTCTTCGTGACCAACTTTCTACATGCTATAAGAACAAAATAAATACAGTACAGTAGTGTGCAGGATATACTCAAGATGCTGCAAAAATGTTAAAGACATAACAAAATTGATGTTATTGGTTCCTTGAGTACAGTATATTTTGAAGAGACATAATCTTTGATGTTAGTGGGTATATTGTTTAATAGTTAGTGGCTGCAGTTATGAAAATATGCCTCCAGAGCGTGCAGTTACAATATTCAAATAACTGTGGTGGACAACATTAATTAAAATCTATTTGGTCTTAAGTGCAAATTTCTCAGTAAGAATCTAGAAGTCGTTCTATTTGGGCTTCTGCAGGTTTCAATAAAAAAGAAGATGCATGAGAATCTGAGCCTCATAATGAAGAGTGTGACAGTGCCAGTGCAAGATTCTAAATGCTTCACTAAGCACACTGAGAGTATCTTATATGGCAACCTCTATAATATGCTGTACAAGGCTGCCGATGATGCCAGAGCTCAAGGCACCCAAGACCTCATCAGTGAGCCTCTCCTGAAGAATTCATACTATGTGTCTGATCATCCCTGCCCAAGGGACCTGATCCTGGCTCACAGAGATGTGTTGCATGATGTCCTTGCTTTCAAAGAAGACCTACTGGAGCGTGCCAGGGATAACATCAACAATGTTATCAAGTCCGTGAACAAGACTTACATTCGGGAGAATGTGACGCTCATCACTGTTCATGTCCGCAGGGGAGACTATACCAGGTACCTCAGGAAGCACTATGGCTTAACACAGATTGATGAGCTGTATTATAAACATGCCTTCGACTACTACAGAAGACGGTAAGTAAATGAATAGACAATGCTAATCTAGAAACAGAGGTGTTCAACTTATCTTCCAATCAACTTACTAAGATCTCACTACTCCTGTTGGCTATTTCAATTAGTGACATAAGGTCATTTACACTACTGGGTAGGTTTCTGCTATGATGTTGTAGGATACTATACTTATTGTCTACAGCACACTTAATATGGTACAGTGCCAGTTATCTAACCAGTGTGTTAAGCATGTGTGGTTTGAGGTACATAAGGAATACTATCTAACACTGTTCACTAACCTGTTTTTTACAGGAAAATAATTATAGGCCTGGAATCAGTGACCATCTATCAAATTATTATCACTTCTCAGACTAATGATGATATGTATAACATCCAATAGTGTGGTAAATCCAGTGTTCGTGGTGGTGAGCGCCGATCATGAATGGTGCATCCAATACCTCCAGGATAAAGACGTTGTTGTTGCTGGTGAGTAAATGTAATAATAATAATATAAATAACAGTAAAAATAATAAATAACAAGATTATTACCAACAATATGGTATACAGTCCAGTACTGTACTGTATATGCAAATGGATCTCAGATTGCAGAGTTCAGTACAAGGAAGTACAGTACATAAAGGAGCTGAAATTATAAGTAATTTTACCACAGGAAAATTTATAGAGGGATCATGGGTGCAGGTTGGTGGTATCTTTCAATGATCTTGGAAGTATAGTACAGAGGTGCCTATTGTCTGTGCCTACCTTTCTTTATTTTCTTTCTACTTTAGGTACAGTACTTCTACTCTCATGAACTCTGGTTTTTCCATTGATTTATCTATCTCTTCTACAACCTTCAAAGAAGTCATCAGTAACTTTCCTTAACATATATACCTGTATTATATCACTCAGAAGGTAATATAGTATGGTGGCTGTTAAATCTTTTTTAATCAAAATTAAGTTTACCGAGTGGTAGTCTTATTAACAATATGCTTCACTGTTAATTTCATCAGGTGGCAGTCTCATTAACATCCTTAATTCTTAACTCTACCTGCATAATATATTTTTTTTACATAATTAAACTTCCATTAAAATCCTTCATCAGGTAATAAGAGGGATGTACTGCTGGATATGGCAATACTGACCCTGGGTGACCACACCATCATTAGCTATGGCACCTTCGGCTTCCTAGGTGCAGCCTTGGGACACGGAAACTTCACCTATCCCTCCACCTCAAATAAGAACTACAGAGTCTATGACTGTGTTCACTCACCAGCTGTACATAGCATTTCAAGAGATCACCTTTACACTCACCACAGCAAAATCAATGAATAACAAGTGAGAAAGAATATAGGGAAATATATTATCCACACATGCTACTCTTTATCAACCATATATAACAATATTAAGAAGAGATTTATTCCACATCAACCATACATGCCAAAATAATATCAAGTGAATTACTACTCACTCACCATAAGTCACATACTGTACACTGGAGTAGACTTTGGCTTTTGATTTAATGTAGACTAAACAAATTTTTCTGTACTAGTGGATCATAATAGGTGTTTAATGTGTGAGAAAAACTCTCAGTGGGTAGACTTGGAATTAAACCAATGTATTTTATTTATTACTTACAAACTAATGTGAAGTTATGTACAATATTCCATCAAGTATTTAACTTTACTTTTTATAATACGTAAAAATGTTTCATTCGCTTGCCCATTTAGGTGGGAAATAAAATTTACAGCAAGCAACACTTTAAATAATCTTAAATTTGTTCTGTATACCATAGATGTTTTAAATTGCATAACACATGAATTTTCAAAATATTTATGTGATAAGATCTGTCAGGAAGGTGAGACCATGGACTCAACACGAGTACCAGGTAGCAAGTCTAGATGCAACTGAGGTCATGCTGCTGACCCTGAGAACATTTTCTGTCTTGTTTAATAGAAAAAATAAAATAAAATAAATAAATAAATAAATGAAAATAAATAAAATAAAATAAAAATAAAAAAACATGGAGATAAACTGTTGCTGAACTTACTAAATTTTTCCCATATAACTGTTAAATATCTGGAGAAAGACCATCTGTATCAAGAGGGGCATAGGAATCTAACTTCACAATTCAGTCGGTTACAACTGTATGTAATAAAACCTTCACATTACAGTACGGATAAAACCTCAAGAGTTTTCAGGGTTGTCTTTACCATCATCCTGAGCAATAGATATATGGTAGCGCTGTTGTTCTTCGTGGGTGATGTCTCCTGGAGCACCCGACATCAAACAGCGACCCTCCATAGATTTGGGAAATGCAATAACGTCACGTATGCTATTGGCTCCACACATCTCGGCAATCAGCCTGTCAAAACCTGTCAATAAAAGAAACTCGTGAGATGAAGCACAATAGTATAGTAAAAAAAAAAAAAAATCGATTACACCTAAAAGTTTCTCAGATGAAGTACATAAAAAATATTTTAAATCAGTGGGTTTATGCTTATATCCTGGTACTGTATAAGGACTTTGAGGGAGGGAGGATGATTGTAAAGGCAACTTTTATTCTTGTCATACTTTGATAATATGCAGTGCTAAATTCTTCTACTGTAAGTTATACCTAGTTATTTTAATAGGTCCATGCAAAAAGCCAAGCTATTTTTAAATGTTTTAATTTTAGGAATGTATGGGTTGTCCGTCTACATTTGTCTTGTATTAGTCTCCCCAATGTTCACCACCCCATGCCTCAACTGGGCAGGACCTGAACTCAAATGCTGTCCAGGCTTAATATATAGAGTAAAGTGAAATATTTCTGTTATATTCAATATCATTTTATTACTGGTATTACAACAAAAAGACCAATCATAACTGTGTTGACACTTACCCAAGGCAATACCCCCATGAGGTGGAGCCCCAAACTCCAAGGCTTCAGTGAAAAACCCAAGACTTGCTGGATCAATATCCATAATATTTTGTAAAACGTAGCGTTGCATCGCTGGGTTGTGAATTCGTATGGATCCTCCACCAACCTCACATCCATTCAGCACTAGATCATAATGCTGGGATCTTGCCTAGAATTTAAACTTACTTATAGTTAAAGAAAAAATAACTACGGTACTTCTCTGAATTCATTAACATGACTGAGGTTCCACCACTAACATACAGATGAAGTTTAACTAAGGTATAAATTTCCTGGTGTGAAAATTATGAGTAGTGATTAAATTTTTTCACAAGTAAAATCATCAAGATAATAATATTGGAACTATTTAAAACCAAAGATTTAGACATTTCTATCTCTTATTAATAGGTTATCAGAATATTTTTTCTTTAATCAGATGAAAAAGTTATAAGATCTGAATAACAAAATTTGCTAGGCACTGATGAACAAATCACACAGATTGCTACATAACTGTACATTTACTTTGCAGCATGGAAATCTTGTGTTATAAATTATTAGACCAATTATTTATTTCTTTATTTACACTTTTAGACACAATACTTGTCAGTAACATACCTTAAGAGGGTCTGTGTACAAGTAGTGACTATCCTCTTCTATGGGTAGTGTAAAGGGATGATGGACAGATAAAATTCTCCCTGTATCATCATCAAGCTCAAATAGCGGAAAGTCTATCACCCACAGGAAGTTGAAATGCTCTTGATTCCTGACTGCAACACCACTCTCCTCCATGACCTTGGCTGCCAGTAAACGTAATTTACCAAGTAACCCCAGCTGTAAGGTGACACCAATAATCAACAGGGTTATTGAGCTGCAACTTATAATGAAGGTTTTATTTAAATATCCTTTTGAAATATTAAATGCTGAAACCTTAAAGCCTAAAATAAGTTACAATTAAAATTAAAGAGCCTGTCTTGTATTTCATCAACAGTAGTGTAATACAATACCCTGTACATACAAGGAAATTGAAGAGGTTGGGAGTCAAGGGATCTATAGGTTATTTACTGTACACTCGCTCCAAAAAGTATCTTAAAGGATTTGTGCGAGACATTGTGACACAGCAGATGAAGGATTTTGACAACCCTACCAAGACAACCGGAGTCGCAGTGTTCATTTTGAAATTCATCAGGCACCACCTTGAAGATATTTTTTGGAACGAGTGTACATCACTAAACAAGCACTAGTAACAACAGGGCATATGGGTGATGGAGCAAATAAGTTTAAAATGATCTGAAGTTGGGTAAAACAATTTATTTAAGGTTGAATTAATAACTTTTCTTTTATTACTTACCTGAAGATTTGGAAATAATGTATCTCAAACCATCATTTACATTAGTTAAACTTATCAACTTAATTGGTAAAGAGTGCAATAAAAAAAATAAGAAGTCTGATTAACCAACCACTTTATTAGTTGGGCCCACTGATAAGACCAAGACATCTTCCATCTGGGCCCTAAGAGTTTTGGTTAATTCCTTTTGGCTGGCAGGATTCATTTTCTTTGCAATGTTTCCCTTCAGAGTGAGATCTTCCAGAGTGTAGAATACTGACACTCCAGGAAGATTGTGTTCCCTTTTAGCCAGATTTTCCCAGGATGTAATCATCTTCTTACTAATTTGTGACTGAAAATAAAAATCAGTTAAATTAAAATGTTAATAAATACTAAAAGGAGGAACAATCCTAAAATCCTCTTATATGATCAAGTTAGGATTGAGTAACAATGTATAGCCAGCAGGTCTAGAGGTCACAGTCCAAAGCCCCAAGAATAAAAAAAATAAAAACAATTTTCACTGATCCTCATCCATTCATTCTGACAGCTGCCACACACCCACCAAGTACAACTTATGCCCCTAAATCTTTCTACAACTTATGGGAAATTTATTCCCCTCACTTCTAGTGTTCCTTCTATCTCCCTCCTACTATCAACCTCTGAATTATACACTCCTTTTACCCATATTTCACATCCCAGTCTCTCCATACATTTGGACTATCCTAAAACACCCTGGTAAACAAAAAAGGAAAACAGGCACTTACCTGTCCACCAGGAATGATGAAGGCACGAGCAGTGGTCCCAGGTGACGTTACAGCCTTTTCTAACACACTGGCTCCACAATTTTCAAGAAGATGTGTAACATCTTGTAACTGATGTAAATATAGTTTAATCAATTTTTGCTTGTACCAGAACATAATTTAAGCTTGTGACCAAAGACTGCATGACTTTAATATACACTCAGGCTTAAGGGGTAACTGGCATCTGAGGCAGTTGGTCATGAATGAGTAATTTATAATTGATGTAAAAAACAAAAGAATAGACCAGAGCATCCATAATTAAGTTCAACAGTGAAACTATCAAGCCACCTCCCTTCTAGGTCATATTCCCATGTGGAGTGTCTAATGTTGTAAATCATATACCGTACTGTATACTTTTTAGATCTAAGTTTGAGTTAGGGTTTTCCAACCTGCAAATTATTTAAGCTGCTCAATCAAGATGTATGATCATTAAAATAAATATAACAATTTTATGGTACAAAACTAAAAATTTTGATACACTGTACACTGACATATGAGGTCAGGGAAAAATCTTGACTCTCTTCCAGCCACAGAACAAAAGGTTGTGCTGTGCTTGTAAAACACAAAGGTCCCAATATAAAAGCTGCCTATATAATGTCATTCCTCTATGCTGAATACTTTTGTGTAATTTTTCTAACATAGAGTAAGAAGGACTGAAGGATAAATGAATTAATATGCCCCCTTGTATATACAGTGAGGATGTTGTAAAGTTAAGTAATACTCTTCACAAACTTGGGTGGGACAAATTCAGGGATGGTGAGGTGTATATTAAATGTTCCACCTGCATTTACAGTGAGGCATATGAGAGAGAAAATAAAAAGTATATTAAAATGGATAGTACAATATTTACCTTCCATTCAAATCTGGTGTCTGGTTTATCAACTCCATAAGTGTTCATGGCCTCCGTGTATGTTAAGACAGGGAATGGAGCATGGATAGCAGGAAGATTTGAGGGCCATGAATATACCAGGAGGTTCTCTATCAAGCACTTTACTTCACTCATGGTCACATTTGCCATCTCCAGATCCACCTACACGAAGAAAAGTTAGAGAAATTTCATTTTTTGACCTGTAAGACTGACCTTCAATTTGACTGATGGCACCTGCATAACACCTAACTATTGTGTCAGAAGAATACTGATATTTTTGTCAACTGCACCACAGCAAGTTGAGCAAACTGTATTGGCCTGATACACTGGAGTCTGCACTTTCATGAGTCTTATTGAGGAAATGCTGCTTTGTGGTTGATGAACTTGGGTAAAATTGGATAAAATTTTCATATCTCTTTAGCTGTAAATTTTTACTTTAGTATGTTCACTCCATTCTTTATGGCAGGTATGGGGTCTTAAATCATGAGTCTTAAGACAGCCAACATAAGGAAAGGATTTTGTACAGGTTTGGCTTTGGCCCATTGTGTGACACAGCATAGTGGTAACAATTTAATTTCTTGACAATAGAATTTTACACAGTGAACTGGTAGTAACAGTGATAACAGTATGGTAATGAAAACACAGTAATAATAGTAACCAAAATTCCAATTAGCTTGAGTAAGGATGTACTGTATATCCATTGAATATTCAGTACTGGTTGAAATAGGACTATTATCTGATATTTCAGACTATGTCCAAGGTCTGCTATCAGTTTCAGTGGCCCAGCCTCATCCCCTACAATTAGTCCGACATAACAAGGTTCCACCACACTGTATATAGAGACAAAAACAGACATATATAATACCATACTATAGTCTGCTCTGTTTTGTGGGTGTATCAAAATGTGGCAGCATTCTAATTTTTGTTTACACTGTTAACATATGGGTGACCTTTGCTATATTGTGTAGATAAATAAAAGGTGCATCACTGTCTAGGACATAATAGAGAAAATAATGTACAAATATTTTTAAAGTACTGTATTACCTCACCTGCATAAATTCTGGTTGTCTGTCAGGTTTGCCTCCTTCATCTCTGTAACAGACAGCAAACTGGAAATACTTGTCAAATCCTCCAATCATGGCTAACTGCTTATATGTCTGTGGACTCTGAACCAGTGAATAAAATTTTCCACGAAGCCTACTGGGCACCACAAACTCTTGAGCTCCCTGAAATAAACAAACAATCCCAAATATAAGACAAAGGTATAATATACAGTAAAACCTAGATTTTCACAAGTTCTAATTTTGTGGATTCTATGTACTGTAAGATGTCACAGCCTTATAAAAAGAAATTCAATACACAAAATATGCACCACTTGCTCTATGAACCTTAAGCTGTGATATCATAAGTTAGCTATAATACAAACCTAGTACTCTGGCATTTGCACTGATATACATTTACTGTAGGGAAATTACTTTCAATAGGGACCAATTACCCTCTTCCTGACATACTGTACTCTGACACCAGCTTTATCATACCTGTAAAACTTCTTAATATCATCAGGAATTTCTTACCTATCCCATAAATTCCCCACCATTTGGGTAATCTTCTCTGTCTTGCATAACTTGTATTGTACAGTTTTGTTAGTTATTCTATCCATTTTCCACCTCCCATCCTTAACATTTCTAAACTGATTACTGTACTGTACACTGACTCAATTTCAAGTGTTCCCTTAGAGTGGCACTTTTGACACACTGTGGGATTCTGTTCTGTACTGAATTTATGGCACATCCACTATCAACTACCAGGAGCTGACTGTGTGATATGTAGCACATCCCAAATCAAAGGATTAAGCAGACAAAATTTTTTAATAATTATGAAGAGTATATTCCCACCCCCTGAGCACCTGTCTGAAATGTAGGACAGTAATAAAAAGCTTCCTTACCCCAGGTGTGTTGACAGAGAGAGTTGGTGTGGTAAGCTCAACAAATGCCTCTTTATCTTGTAGGTAATCTCTCATTTTTTTTGCTACCTGTGAATTATATAATGGTGATAGTATATGAAACTGAAAAGTGATTTTTTTCTGAACAAAGGAAGAAAGTATATAAGGACCATATTATACAAAAGTTTAAAGTTGATACTAGAAACTAAAGTTTTGACTTTAAGTGCTTCATTAATCAAGATCTCTATATATCACAAAGTTTTTTTTACTATATGCTTAGCTAGACTGCCTAACATGGACTGCTGTTTAACTACTTTACATTATTAAACAAATGGAAAAAAAAAACTAGAGCTGTTCTGAGTGATGAAATGAATAGTATACAGCACACTGTATTTAGAGATTATCTAAGAGTAAATTAATATTGTTTCTATAATTAGGTAAAATGAAGATTGAATCTGGAATCTAGTTCCTACCAGATCCTGAAGCAACACAGTTGCTCTTAAAGTGCAAGGTGCCTTGAGGTCTAAGATAGTAGACTATTCCCCAACAGCAGCTGGAGGCTGATCTGACAAGAGGTCTATCAAGCCAGTTGTGCCTACCTAGGCACAACACCCATTATGCCAGCTATGGCTGCCACTTGGACGTTAGAGTCAATATGTAATTTTATATTAAATTTTCTGCTGACCACAAACAAAGTAAATGAGGGAAGGTGTCTGAGCTGCCTGATAATGGGATCCATTCAAAAATAGGATTTCAGAAACAATTCTCCATTTCTAGACTGAAGCCCATACCAGGCAGTCACTGGTTTCCAATACAACTTTTGATCCTTAAAAAAGGCCTGTCTGGGAGGCATCAGTTGCCACTAAGCCTGAACAATTAGTTTCTACCATTACACTGTACATAAGAAAGGACAAAAGAAATAGGCTCTAGATGTTAATATGGTTCACACCCCTCGGTGAAACCAGGTTAAAACAGGGTAACTAACCTTAAAAGCTCCCTAGTACCACACAACCCAAAAGTGAAGTAGTCTCATTTAGATAGTGGAAGAACATATTTCTCTGATGCTCCTACATCACCTTTGAAGGTTTGACTTCAGTGACATACCTGGAAGAAAGGCCAAGAATGTTGCAATGCCCTAAAAGTTACCAAATTAGGCACATTTGGCTTACCATTAACAAGGAAATGAATATGAAATGACGGACTGACTCTTGTAATCTAAATAGTGGCCATAATTGAAACTTTGTGTGTGTTGTTTAAGCAGACGTGACTCACTTTATATAGACCTCCTGCCTTTGAGTGCAAATTTCCAACCAATCTCCTTTTTAGGGTGACAAATGAAATGGGGATCACAGGCACTCATAAGATCAGTCCCAGCTGTCATTAATGCGATAGTCTACCATGTTCCTGCACAGTGTCAGTGAGTTCTGTTACATGGGTGACATAATTGCCAGTGGGGAAACTGAATGCTCACTTGCAAGAGTCATAAGTGTCTACTATCCTAGATCCCCCAAAAAGCTTACACATCAACAAGATCTAACTGGCAAGGGCAATAATAAAAAAATGAAACTCTTGTTCAAGGAGCAATCAGAGCCATACCAACCATCAACCATTAGATGAATTGGCCAGTGATATGAAGATCCTGTTATGAATTGCATTAATCCATTTCTCTATTGTGGGTTCTTTCACTTACCTGAGATTTTAATCTAAGATTCTTCTGCAGCTCAGCATGACGTAGATCAAGATATCTATATTTTAAACGCAACTGCTCTTTAGGCTGCAAAAGTAAATTTTCTTTGTTAATGAAAATGGTTCAAATATCATGAAAGCTTTTGTTACTTAAAAACTAAAGGATTTATGTATGAACTCCCAATTTTTTCATAATGACCTGTGGCAGTACCTACCAAAACAACCTCTCTGGCAGAAACTGCTTTATTAAGAGGGTCACTTGTATTCTGAGCCAGGACCACTGTCCTAACTGGATCGGTACAAATGCTGTTATTAGCCACTAGCCTATTCAAACCAGGGTTATGAAGCAAGTTCTGAGCATGATTCAGTAGTTAGGTGACTTTAATCTGAGTTGGGCTCATTAGCTGAAGAATTCAACAAATACTACCTCTGGTTACCATAGACAAGCTGAATCATCCTCCTGATTGGGTTGGTCATGAACAACCCATTATAGTCAAAATAAGTATGTCACTTACCACCAGAATATATAAAAATAAATTTGAATAAACCTGAGCAAAAACAAGAACATATAAAATTTAATCTCTTCCACAAGAAGATGAGCAACAAGCAAAGAGTGTCTATGAGTGTGTGGCGGTGGAAGAGTCCAGCATGAGTGCAAATATATGATACCATTATAATGTATGCAATTTGAAATTTGTTTGAATTAGGCTCATCTTGTGCTCACTAATTAGTTTAACTCTGATCCACAACAGTTACATAGAGAGTCCAGGACTGTACTCAGTGTTTATCATCCTATCACTTCAACCCATTGTTCAGCTTCAGTGTTATCCCCATTTAGCAACAATTTCACTTAACATTAGGTTTTTTAAGAACACAACCCCCTGGTTAAATGAGGCACACCTGTACATTTTTCTATTACCTACAAAATCACTACTTAACTGTCTTCTCAAATATTGTATTATTACATATATGTAAGGTTACAAGACTTATCTATTTTTACCTTGTTAAAATCACGTATCAGAAATGGAAGATCATGCCGTGCCCTACTCAGGACTTGGTAGCTGTGTGCAAGGACTTCAATCTTTCCTGTGGCCATTTCCTGATAGAAATAGAAATCGTGGAGGTAAATTCAATTTTTTTTAATAATAAGGGATTTTATACCAACCACCATGTACTATGTTTTATAATGTACAGACTGCAGGATGTTGCTGACTTAAGTATTCTCTATGCACAGGTAACCATGTGCCCACAGGTCAATGAGTTCCGTTATGGATGACATTATCAGTGCTGGTGGGTGTACTAAAGCCTGCTCAATTACAGGAGTGAGAAGTGGATGGAGGAAGTTTAGGGAGGTATTGCTTATATTGATAGCAAGAGGACCTTCCTTCAGCATAGCATGAAAGGAATAATATATGCATCTAGAGTGAGAAGTGTGATGTTTTATGACAGTGAAACATGGGCAGTTAAAGAGGATAACTTAAGTAAACTTGAGCAAACTGATGTGAGAATGGTGAGGTGGACAGGTAATATGACAGTGAACTAAGAGGGTGGCTAGGTATTGAGAGTACTGTATTCTTTTTACAGTATCTACCTGAAACAATACAGGTATTGTTTGGTGAAGAAACCTAACCCCTGTAGTTGTCGAGGGACTACTGTATTGTACAGTGATCCATTGTAAGAATTTGAACCCAGTTAGGAGTTAGCTGAATGGGTCAATTGCACTGGTTGTTGGATCAGTGTGAGAGCTCTAGGTCAGGTAAATAAAGCAAGAATAATATCACCACTGTTTTACAGCCATTTTCCCAGCTTGTGCGAGTTAGCTGTAATTATCTGATGGAAACTCCCCCAAGCTACATGGTCTTTTGGAGCCTCTCTTCTTAAGTTCTTATCTCAAAGGTAATTCCTTATTTTCCCCCATGTCATTCTTGCCCTTCCCCTAGCTATCTTTCCCTCCATATTCCAACTCCTGTATCTCTTGACTCAGTTGGTCTCATCCATTCTTTATTCATACCCAAACCATATTAGCCTACCTCACCATTTTCTTTTAATACCCAGCCACCCTCACAGCCCTGAACAGTTTTTAATCTTTCAACGTCATATTACACATCCACCTCACAATTCTCATTTCAGTTAGCTAAAGCCTACATATGTCATCTTCTTTAACTACCTAAGTTTTTATTGCCATACAACGTCACACTTCTCATACCAGCTGCATACATCTTTCCTTTAAGTAAAATAAGACGTTAAAATTTCAATACTGTATAAAGGTAATACTTACACTATTATGTTGATCCTCAGGTCTGTGACACACAAGCCCCTTCACCTCCACATATGACTCAAATGTTGTGTCACTGAGTAGCTTGACAAGATTGACATCCTATAAGATGATAAGCTTCATCAGTTCTCATGTTGAAAATGAAGCCATCGGCAGTTTAACTTGTAATGCAAACAAAAATTCTCCTTATCTGTACTACAATAAGAAATCATAATGTAATATATTAATTTCACATTTAAAGAGCAAAATCCCATTAAAGTCACATTAATAATTTAATAAAAGGACAAACCTCATCTTTAATAAGCACTTGTGTCTTCCCAAATGCATCACGGAGAACAGCAAATTTCCCCATCCGCTGGAACTGAAGATATCCCCGGAGCGTGACTTCCTGCCCAACATGGTGTACACGAAGTTCACCACAGGTGTGACTTTTTAATGATGACCCAACAGTGTGACAAACTGTAAAAAAGAGATTCCAAAATAGGTTTTTCTATAAGTACATTTTTCTGTTATATTTTTTTCTTTTACTGTATGTACCTGTACTTCCAATATCTGAACTAATTTCTTCCCACATATAGTTTCTACCTCCTCATTTATAACCTTACTCCTATGTTCCCAATGTTTATGTCCCCTTTACTATGACCTTTTGCAGATAGGGAACACAAATTCTGGTCATTCCAACTATACATCTATTGCAGGATATGTCCTAAAAGGGTTATTAAACTTTATCACATAATTTCTTTACAGAAATATTCCTCTGAAAAATCTGCTGAGTCAACGCGTGTCATCTGCTTGTTTACAAACGACCAGCTTAATCTGAGCGTACACTTACGTTCACAGAAAAACATAAATTACATCACGATGCTTCAACAAAGTTGCTTTTATTGGTACCAAATATCAAAATAATGACTTTCTGCTTAATATAGCGGGGACGACTAGGAAGTTAGGTCAGGTTAGGTAGGTTTCTTTGATTGGTTAGGTCAGGTTGTATGGGGGAGGGGGGTGATAAGTCCAAAACGACTCTTTCCGACTGAAATGAAGGTCAAATGCGAATGACTCACACCAAATACCAAGGAAAAAAAATTGTGGTCGAACAGCAGTTGTGGCTAAAACTAAATTTCCCAGGATTTTAAGGTTAGGTTGGGTTAGGTTGAAATTACATTTTTCCAATGGTTTATGAACGATTCTGACCTTCATTGCGTTCAAAACACATCAAAAACCATCGAAATAAAACATAATTTCTACTTCCAAATAGGTGGATGACCGAGACGATAATGTTACCTATTTTTTTTCTGCTGTAACCCTATGTACAAATCAATACATTATAGTGTTCCGTGGTCGACCATTTCCGAATATTAACCTTTTATAACTACTTCTATGTAATTTCACCTTTACAATATGGAGACTTGTGTAAGAACAGTTTATTCTTTGATGTCAGTAGAGACCTGGTGTGTGACTCCCTAATACACATTCTTGCTGACTTTGGTGCCTCAGTTACGACTCTGCTCACTGCTAGTAAATTTCTTTGCCTTTTCGTGACTCTTGAAAATACCCTCAACAGGGAATCCATCACTGTAATAATAGATAATCTAACAAAAGACAAATACTATTACAAGATTACATCATTTGTACTCGAACCGAAATGATATAACCAATGTTGAAAAATATCTAAGACAAGAAGATTGATTAAAGTGTTCTTCTGGAGGCACAAACTAAGCAAAATACATTTAACTAAAACACATCTAACCAGTTTTCATATAGTTTGGATATTATCAATATATAAAATCTAATGAAGAACATAAAAATTATCATTGGTCGTGTTTGTTCTCTTCTCACAACATCGTACTTCTTACATCAACAACACGGTCGGGCGGTTAAACTACCAAGCTTACCAAAATTCTAAATAATAATAATAATAATAATATTAATAATAATAATAATAATAATAATAATAATAATAATATGGTACTACTGTAGTATCCTGTCTATCGCACTGGAGCTAGTATAGTATGCGGTCTATCGATCTAGTTGTGTCTACTGGGATATTTACACTGTAGCATACATTAACTTAACTTAGGTTAGGTTAAGATAGGTTAAGTTAGGGTAGGTTAAGATGAGTTGGGTTAAGATATGTTAGATTAGGTTAAGTTAGGTTTGGTTAAGACGCTACATTGTAAATATCTACAAAAGTAGGTGTGGCTGGCACCCCACTTGACCATCTTCACTTCCCTAACTGCTGGAAAGTTACATATACTGTACAGTACAGTATACCCAGTCTTCTATATAATTTCACTTGCAACTGTGTATATTTTAGTTTATACTTTCATTGCATTTTAATAGCTTAAGACGTTTTGGCATTACATGGATACCCATTTAAAGAGTGAATTATGTGAGACAACATAGAAAATAATTTATATTAGTGTTTTCATTTATACGTCACTATTGTATCTAGCTACCAGCTGTATAAAGTTCTGGCCAGTGTGTCACTATTGTACCTCGTTAGCAGAACTTACATATAAAGAAATGTACGAAAGTGCCAGGCTGTCACAGAGGTAAAAAAACAAACAAAAAAGAGAGAACGCCATTCCCGAAAAAAAAGTAGAGATAGTTAGGAGCAAAATTAGAAATGATAAAGCTTGTGAGGCAGATCAGCTTCCAGCAGAATTTAAAAAACAAATGGACAAGCATGGGATAAAATGTTTTACTAAAATATAATTCTATAAACTGTACTTCAGAGGAAACTTCCCAAAATCATCTTGTATTATTGTACGTATTACACAAAAAGCCAGGGGCCTTACAGTGCACTTAGTTAAGCACAAGAAGCTTAATGAGTCATGTCTGAAAAGTTTAATTCATCATAAATCCATATAAATGAGTTCTTCCCGGCAGTTTAAATGAAGGAAGGTTTAAAGGGCGCGGTCTCACACGTCAGAGTCACGTGGTCGTAGTTGGCCATGTGTACTCCAATGGTGATGCGCGGTTCATGTTACTTGGGCGCCATTGTTGGAGAATGTCAACAAACTACTCGTGAACTCCTAAGACTAATCAGCCATCAATAGTAATAGTTACCTGGAGATGATGATTTAGACAATGCTTCCTACGTGTCTAAACTCTGATTACGTTTAAGTGTCAACTGCTAAATAGACGTTGTTCAATAGTGAAATAATCCCCTAAAGGTGCTATCTTCTTCGGAGCAACTAGACCCTGTGTTATTTTACAAAGTAAACTCTTGGTGTTTATTGGCTAGTCAAGAGGTAGACGAGGTAGTTTCTCTTTATTAATTATGAGCCTAGACCTCGACAATATAGTGAAGAAATGGGATGTGTGATAAAGGTTAACAAAGCAGTTGCCACTATTTCAAGAAATTGTTTGACAAATTTTTATAAATTATGAACTAATATTGATACTATACCACCGAGGCATTATGCTTTGATGTTTGTGGTACAATCGTCAATATTAGCCGGTTAGGTTAAGTTAAGTTGAATTTTTAAATAAATTTTTTTTAACACATTTGCTATAACTATGGCAGTGTCCTCTATAAAACAGTGAAATTGTGGAGTTTTAATATTTTTATTTCTATGAAGAATCAGCAGCGGAAAAGTCGTCAATAATTACTTTTGCATGATACTAAACCCGAAAATGAATTCGACAATGCACAGAAATAGTTTTCAGGTGATATCACCATTAGGCAAACTCCCCCATACAAACTCTCCTCATACACTCATAGTTAGTGAAAAAGAATATGATTTATGCAAATTGTAATAAAAGTTACAAAAATCAAATTATATGATTTATCATATGTGTGGCTCCTTATTTAAGGATAATGTTCAAATTGTCCAACGTGAGCAGCAAAAGAGATACTTTATTCATGTTAAGTATTGTGCAGAAAGTGTACTCGAATTTATGGTCTTGATTTAATTTTCAGATGCCGAGAGAGGACAAGCGTGCTACCTTCTTGACAGACTTGGGAAGGGCTACCATGAGAGGTGTACGTAGGTGTCACAAGTGTGGCACCTTGAATGGCACCCGAGGATTCTCTTGCAAGAACAAGTCCTGTGATGTAATTTTTAAGGAGGCGGGAGAAAAGAGAAAATTATCCACAGAAGCGTGTAGAATAACAGCTGGTGCAGAAGCTCAGGTTAGAGACACTTATCATGTTTCAAGTGCTATGTATTATTTTATTTGAATTGTTTAATACAATCAGTGGATTCAATATGGTTAGGTGAATTGCTCCAGTCCTTTATAGCTGTAAAGAAGAAAGAATTTTGGGCTTGACCTCAGACACCTTGTACGACAAATTATTGTTCACTGCCCCAGGTGCCTTGCTGGTTCATATCCCTGATCCTAACAAAGTTTGTTGCAAATTATCTTGGATGCAAACCACTTAAAACCCTAAAATATGATTATTGAAGTGAAACTTGTGCTGGTTTACATTATTTCTTGAACAAAATCATAATTTATTCAAGAAAAATTGTTGATCCAATCTTAGTTCATCACTGAACACATTAATCTTGACTAAATCACTCTGTCATAATGATTTCACCTGTTTAAGACTTACAGTGGGTAAGCCATGGACCCCTTGATCCCCAGCCTCTTTAGCTTCTCTATTGCCAGCTACCTAAGAATTAAGTGAAAACCCTAGTAATTTACAAGTATGTACAAAGGGCCGATCTATAATAATTTCCTATGTCTCTTCCAGATTTATTCTGTGAGAGTACGAGACAAAGGCCCTGACTATCGTGGTTTTGTTCAGCTTCCTGTGATTCAATCCATGGATGGGTCTGGGGATATTTTCATTGGTGCAGAGTCTCTGGGAGATCCAAGGATGCTTGTGCAGATGGGAATAAGATGTTATGTGGAACCATGTCAGCGGAATTGTGAAAAAATAATGGTGAATATTAAGTAATGTTTTAAAGTGTCTTACTTTGTTAGTGGTTCTAAGTACAGAATGTGATGTTTTGTTTATACAGTACTCTACAGTATACTGTATGTACTTATCTTTTAGTAAACTTCACTATAGACTTACTGGGGTCTCACTCATTTTTTCTATGAGATATACAGTTGCTAAAATTTTGTTTTAGTCTAGTTTGAGATAAATTTTATGGACTATATATAGGCAATTTAAACAGATACATTAGTTATTCAGCTTAAAGTGAATGCAGTATAGTACAGTATTTGTCTTTGTCCCTAAGATATTGATTAGCTACAATGTGGGGTAATTATAAAAAGTTTGTGAATTATTAATGTTCACTCAGTTTAAATAATAATAATGTACTTCATTTAGTTTTAGGAGATAATTATATGAGGTGAATTTAATATTAACATTACTCCCTGTAGCTGTAGTATATGAATATGAAATTGAAGCTCTCTCTAGTATTGTATTAACCTGACAACATTACTGTAACTTTCTACAGTTACTAGTTGCTGTATACTGCTTCCTCAAGGTTACTGCCACCTCCTCTTTCTCACTTTTCTCCACCACTCTCTTCTTCTTTTTTTTCACTTCATTCGCTATACAGTACTCAAGAAAAATCTGTTTATAGTTTTCCTATTACTTTATTAGTACTAGCACATACAAGTACAGTAGAACCTCAATACACCAAACTTCAATGGTGTGGGTAAAGAAAGACATGTGTAGAAAGTGAAACGAAAGAGACCAAGACAACAAGATATGGGAAGTCACTGAAATGATCCTGTCTAGTGTCAAGGTTTACGTGGGTCTGAAACATGTAGACTTGGTGGGATGGTAATATGTGAATTGGTTACTTATGAATTTGACTTGAAGATGGGATTTCTTGGTCAAGCCTTCATATTTCTTTTACATTCAGTGTATTACACAAACTAATATAATATACTGTATACTATAGCTATATATATTATTCTCATTTCAGAGTCAGCCGCCAACATTGTGTTCACACATCCGTGCTGCGTCCCAGTGTTTTAAAGACGCTCAATCACTAACGCTAAAAAACTCTGTTCTGAATTCCTTGCCCATACCACAGTCGATCAAATCAGACATCTGGCAGCTTGCGACTGATACCCCGGGCCCCCTCGTACAAAGAGTATCCAAAAATATTATGGTGGTTAAATGTAAACCAGAGGCTCTACATCCATTGGGATTTTTACACTTCAGCTTCCAGCAGGTAAATTATAAGTAAATGAGGTATGACACTTATGGTCTAAAATACTTCATCTGTCTTTGTCTGTTTTATTTAGGTTACATACACTGTCCCCTCAATTAACGTGGGGTTGTGTTCCCAGAAAACACTGTGTAAAGCAAACCCGTTATAACATGGGGAGATAAGGATGCGTCAGGTGGACCCCCAAAAGTTCCCACTCCCCATGCCAAAAACACTCCAAAATCAAAGTTCAAAGATGTCGTACAGCTCTAAAGTAGCTCACTAATACACATACACGTACATCTACCAAACTCACTTAAACATGATGTTGTAGAGGCATTGGTGTGTCCATGAAATAAGTTACCAAAAGTTTAACACCGCAGTCATTTGCAGAGGCTGGCTGAGTCACACGTGGCCTCCCTCAAGCCTTGCCATAGTAACCCAGCCCAGCTGGGGACTCACCTATTCCCTACCCTTAGCAATGCTCTCCTTTTAGCTAGTGCATGAAGAAATGTTTATTCATTTTATGTTTTTGGCCTATTGATATTTATTTTTTTTGCTTGTGCATGGTGTGTGTATATTAGGAATGATTGTGGTGGTGCTGAATAAATAATTGTGGTGGTGCTGGAGAAGTGATTGTGGCAAACAGTATAAAGTTATTTGACAGGCAGCATGGTGTTGGTGTTCATCGTGTGTGTGTGTGTGTGTGAGGTGATGCAGGCTAAGAGAATGTTTATATAGAGCCATGGTGATGATAGCAGGCAAAAAACTACCACATATGTTTTATATTTAATGGATGTCTGCATGTAATGTTATATAGGTACTAATTCACTTGACTTATTACAGTATTTTTGTTTTGGGAAATGAAGTGGCAAATCATATTAGTATTATAAAATTATTTTCATGGAATCATCCACTCTTGTTAAGAATGATGAATGCTTCTTAAATCACTATATTTTTATTGCCAGGTACGTAATAAAGAGGAAACTGAGTACAAATACTATTGTGGATGTCGAGCTTTCAAGATTCAGCCGGCCGCCCGGGATGTTACCTTCCGGAAATGTGTTCATTTGTATGCCTGTGTGGTGGCCTTTGCAAGTGATCATCAACTCTCTCAGGAATTTTCCTACTATATTAACATGATTCAGAGGTATGTTGATATATACTTTTTGTTAAACATGTAAATTGCCTGTCTAATGTAATGTAGTTATTGCTAAAATGAACACACAAAAATTCAATCTACATACCTTGTACTAGAAACAAAATTGTGTGATACCATTGCCTCTAAATTTGCCTCAGTTGGAGAGCATCAAGTAATATTTCATGTGGTTATTTTTGTATTAATCTTTCAAAAGACCTATAACATTAAATATTCTGCAAGTACTCCTGTAATTATACCTGTATTGACTAGTTTAATTTTTTTTCTCTTATGTTTTGCTAAGTGGAAGTTTAAGTCAGAGATAAGAACTTGACAAGAGAGGCTGCAAGAGTCTGTGCAGCATTTCAGATAGTGTGGACATATAGAGAGATTGGAAAGTGAAGAATTGATAAAACAAAAGAAGTCAGATTTAAATTATACCAGAAGAGGGGAAAACCACAAGAGATAGATGGATGAAGTAAAGGATGCATTAAAAGTTAGGGGAACAGATATCCACAAAGATGCAGTGTATACTAAAGAGTGGAGAACTTGGATGGTACTGGCTTGTGTGAAGTGACAAGGTCAAACCAAATATGAGATCTTATTATGGAAGAGGATTGTCATAAGAGAACTCATACTCTTACAACCATGAAAATGAATGAATGATAATGAATGCAAAATTTATGTATACATGCTCTTGTTTTTTGTCCCAGTCTTTGTATTAATATGTCTTTATTAATGTGTCATACATCCAGAATTTGTTTTCCTTGTTTCAGTGATCTTAACCCGTCTCCAAGTTTAATAGTCAGTAACGGTGGCGGAGATGAAAACAGTGTTAGTATAGGAGAGAGCAGCACAGGACTAAGTACAGTAGGAGAGAGGTCATTCCTTATTCTGAATGACTCTGGAGATTCTCAGTGTCAAGTGGAGGTAGAAGTGCTGCAGGAGGACTCTACATCAATACTTGAGGGCATCCCAATCTCTCCTTCAGATAATCTGGTTACTCAGGTAAAATGACTTAACTGGTACATTGACTGATGAGGATGTGAACACAAATACTGTACCTTGGTGACAGTGTTTCCAGATATATTGTAGGTTGTACATTTTATGAAAAAGATGTTAACATTTTGTATGGGTTATTATTTTCAATACAAATCCATAAATAAATCTATAGACATTATCCTTCTAGAGTAATACAGGCGTTAAATACTAAGAATACAATATTAGGTAGATGAATAGGAAAGAAATCTTTCTGTCAGAAACTCAATCAATCATGCCCAGGATCATGGCCTTATTCTAGTTTTGCCACTAAGATTAATGTTCTGGTTGATCTTGGAGCATTAATATACTGTACGTACTGTAATTCCAATATGTTTGACTTGTTCACTTGGTATGCTATAGCAAGTGCTGCAGCAATTTTCATAATTTTAAAAACTTCCAACTGTCTCACACACACAGTACTGTAGTTCCTAATGTTAACATCTTCACAGCCTGTATATAATGTAGTAAGTTTGACAGTTAGTGTAAGATTACACATATGTAATGACCATTATGGTAAGTGATCATAGTATTCAACAAATTCTTTTACAAACAGGAAGAAATTGAAGGGAAACTGGAAATTCAGTTGAGAACTCCTGAGGGCATCCACCTGCGAACTACAGATGGGGGCACCATCTCTGTCCATCAAATTCCTGACAACCTGCCAGTGACAGGCATTAAGAGGAGACAGGATGATTCAGTGGTCCAAGCCAGCTCGGCTCTCCTTACCCTCCAGGAGAGTGGCACTAAGAAGGTGAGTTATAAAAAAGTGAGGGAAAATTATATCCCCAAAATTTTGCTTAAATTTTTCATATATCTCCAAATGTAAAGACTGCATACAAGTCCTGCTTTATCTTTACAGGTTGGTACAATTCATGGTTGAAGTGGACTTGTAGAACACTGACCCAATGCACCACTTGTACAGAAATGAAGCGATGACAGAACCACGTCACCACATTTTATAGACTTTATTTTGGTGAAAATAATGCTTTACTGTGTAAAATTTAAAACACTTATATTATACTGTACTAACAAATTGCATTTGAATTGTGAGTTTAAAGAGTTTTGTCTTTTGATCCCGAGCAAGTCAGCAATGGTCATCCACCACTGACCTCCACACAACTCATCATACAGTTTCACGGTGGAAACCCGTTGATACTTAAAGCTTTAAACTGGGCCCTATGATAATAATTATTTTTTCATATTCTCTATGTAGAATTGTGTGTATGTAACTGAGTAAAAAAATAATGAAAATTCTGCGCAGGAGTTACATTCCTGAAAACCCATCGCGGGTTGAAATATCATAAACTGGGATCATTATAACATGTGTTTCAATGGGATACGTTTCCAGCCAGTCCGACACCAACAAGTATTACCCAAAAATTTTTAACTAATAATATTCTGTACCTACAATACAATTAAAAAACACTCACCACATCATTATGAACAAACATGGTTGTCATTACATGTTCCTTTTGAGGCTAAGGGCACTCTTGAAGGTAGAGTGGAGACGTCACTCTGACTCCCACACAGCCTCTGGGGAGAGTGAAGAGGCTTCACAATGCCAAGCTTCATTTTCAGAGACAATTTTCCTGGGTGCTTTGGCCTTCAAAGTTACACCGCTCGCTTCATAGTCACAAAAACAAAGCGAACAATGATATCATTATTACAGTTGACACTAGTCACATCATGTTCACAACAACAGAGACAAAGCACTTTACAGTTACAAAAAACATAACAAAAGTCACTTCACAGTCACCAAAACAGAGTACATTGTGAATGTTAGTGATGTCCTCTCACTGTAAGGTGAAAAAACAAAAAACAAAAGTTACAAAAGTATTAATCTTTCAACAATTAAAAAAAGTTACATTTATTATATGTAAGAGAATATTTAGAAAGGGAAATTTACTTAAACTTTCTTTCATTTTCTTTAGAAAACTTTGTCTTTTCCCCCAACTAAGATTGTTTTCCTACAACAGATATCTTCACCGAGAAGACCACTGACTGGAGCCTGTGCCAGGAAGGCCAAGGAACCAGTTGATGAGAATACGGCTTCATTTAGTTTTTTGTCGTGGTTGGGAAGTGTGACAGAGAGAATAAACCAAACGATGCATTTTGGCTTCAGTGGTAAACCTGAGCCTTTAGTGTTTCACATGCCAAAAATATTTTTTGATTGCCTTATGGAGAGAATAAATGCAAGATGGAAAAAGAAAAGATTGCCTAATCAGACACAGCCATTTATAAGAAAGGATGCTGTGCCTTTAGGTAAATTTACAAAATACACCTGGAAAATTATAAGCGACCTCCACGTGCGACTGATCTTTGATATTCCTGATATGCCATTAGAAATTACTCGTAGTTTCATTCAAAACCGCGACGGAACATACAAACTCTATCAACAACGTGATGAAGACTCAATTTATGCCAAGGGTAACCCAAACCAACCACTGTTGAGGCCACAGGAATACAAAACTAGACTTCGTGTTGGCACAACATCACCAGGACAAAAGGAGCCAACACCTTTCATTATCGAATGGATTCCCGATATTCTTCCACAGTCTTGTATCGGAGAACTGCGTGTAAAGTTTGAGTTCGACCACCTGCACAACGGTCAACTACTCACACCAAGAGAACCTCGAGGAGCCATGGCAGGTCAGACTATTGCAGCAGTTCGAAGCCACGGCCCTCTCCTGGCTCCCAGACCCCAACCACAGCAGCCACAACAGTCGTCACAGACAACAACGCAGCAGATCTCGGCAACAGAACATAATATTATTAGCATACCCATAACCTCAGAAGGTATGCAGTCAGCTGAAAATATGGCAACAATTCTTACTTTTTGAAGTATAGTATCTCTAGTCAGTTTATTTTATCTAAAGAGGCAGTACCTGATGTACACATGATAGGGAAACATGGTCTGTCCACAATAAATCTATATACTGTTTATATATTTTTTTTATGTATATATTTAAAGTTTTGCTGCCTTTATTGATATTTTTATTATTAAAAAGAAATAAAAATCAGCTCAATATTGTGTAGATATTTAGCTTGAGCATAATTAGTTTGTTTGCAATAAGAGAACCTGATTATCAGATGTTGGAATAGTATGCAGTAAGACATCACTTTATCGCACTAGTGCATGCTTAAACCTGGCCATAAAACTAGGAATTGCACCAGTAAAAAATGTACAGTACAGTAAAGTTCTCTTAAAAACATAAATATTGATGCCCTTCTCATTCCTGTAGTTTGTTACTACTTATCATAGTAACTCAGTTTCAGTATTTTAAGAGTCCATTAATGTGAAATCTTACTGTATAGTGTTGATAATTTTATATTTTTCCTATGGAAAATGATCTAAATAATTTTATTTACATAAATTATGTACCGTATATTAACCCTTTCACTGGCCGATGACATTATATTTGTACGTATCGTTACGCGGACTGTTAGAAGTGAGATGTCACCCATGACCCCGAACGCTCATACTGCCGCATAAAACATTATCTTTCTACACTCATTTGCAGCCATCCCATATCATTTATACAACTATTGTTCTTTTATCATTTAGTCAGATACTGTAGCTAATCTTTATAATTCAGTAAAAAAAAAAGAAGAAAAAATTTGCATAATTTTACCTGTAAATGATCAAATAAATTAAAAGAATAAACTATGCATTTTGGGTTGCATCATTGGCCAGTCTACTGGTTAGATTTGGACCAGATGGCCAGCTGGTAAAAGGGTTAAGAGAAACCTTCTAAAGCAATTAAATACTGTACAGCTCTTGAGTACTGTATATAACTTTAGAACAAGCAATAGTGTACATAATTTTTCCTTTTCTCTATAGTGTGTATATATATATATATATATATATATATATACTGTATATTTTTATTTTATTTAATTTTTTATGTTATGTCTTGGGGGTAAAGCCTTTCATGAGAAAGGTACAGTAACAACCAGTCAGTAACTGATGACATCTTCCTGTCATACAGCAGAGTTGTCTGATAGTACACACCCTCTTCCATGTGTAGGAAGACATTCAAAATGGCTACATTCATAGTAGTCCCCAACCTAACCATTAAGATTGGGGCCTAATCATAATAGAACTCATTTCTAATGGGCACCAATTTTAATGGCCCATATGCTTGGACTGGGCTGGCAACTATTCAGAATAGGGGTCAGCTGTCCTGCAGTCCTTGTAATACCATAATTTCTTCCATCATATTTTCAGTGTTCCTTGACATTTTTACATCCATTATCAGTGGGGTCTTATCACCCTAGTACTCCACTGTCATCTAACACATTGTTACAGTGCTGAATCTCCCACTAGCTTCCTAATTCATCACTCAGTTCTTTTGCTAAACATTTTATCGGGCTTAGAAAAAAAATGCTTGTATTGTACTGTGTTAGCCATCCACACATGGTATAAAACCAAGTTTTCTTAAATATTAGAAGTTACATCACTTCTTCCAATAGACCTTATCATACCAGGCTGACTCCATTGGTAACTCATCTACTTGAGGTGCAAAAGAACAAATGAAGTGCAGTATAGTACACTAAGCAGAATTGAACCTTTTGTCCACTCTCAGTAACAACTTACTCAAGTCATTTTATGATTGAATTATAGCATCGTAGTGCAGTGCAAGTGAACTATGTTCATTGCCTTTATACAGCACTCGTTTCCTTTCAATACTGTACTTACTTGAAAATTTTAATATGATTTGCCTGTTTTTTTTTTTTTTTTACTTCAAACCTACAACATGAACTTATAAGTACAGTCATGTGTTGCATCCTAACTTTTTTTTCAACATGTCCACCTTCCATATACTATACTGTATTTTCAATAGCAAATTGTTGGCTTCATTTACAGTACAGTGTATTTAGATACTTGTACAGTGATACCCTGCCCAACGTAAGGGTTACATTCTTGGAGAACGATATGTTCCATAGATTCATGTTAGGTGAGCTTCAGAACATACAGGAAGCACTGAGTAGGACATTTGATCTTCAGATGGTTACAGAAGAAATAATGAAGTTTTATGTTACTAAAAACCATTAGGCAAACTTGAAGCAAGTTTTGCAGCTAGATGCCTTTCCTATTGCCAAACCAATTATTGGACATTAAATGTAGGACTTCCAAGCACCCTCTTAGCTGGCAAGGCACGGTAGCAGCTCCCTTAAGTAATCAAAGATGACCCACCTTTGACAGGGGTTTAGGACTGCAACACCAATTAATGATAAAATACATCTAGAGTTTATTATCACATATATATATAAAATATGCTTCAATGTACAAGAAAAAATTAATATTGGTCTTTTGTGCCACTTTCTGCAACATGTGGGATGGCAGCCCCAGGTGAGAGTTAGCTCAGTTCAGGTCACTGATGTAGTTGGTGGTAAGTGCAGTACATACATTGCATACCTCAGGTGATTAATGCACCACTAATCTAGCCAGGTCATAAGAATTGAACCTGTCTCTCTTGACTTTAAAGAACAAAGAGCTATTAACTGATTCAATAAGGGGGCCTTGAGAATGCTTAATGTTAATTAGTTACAGTTATTAACTTGCTTTGATTGTGGGAGGCAGTGCATGTAAAACAAATACAGTATAGAACAGTAGACCTTTCCTGTAGTTTCCTTGTAAATGTGTGATGGTTGGGGGAACCATTTCAGACTTGGTCCTTTTGCAGTTTGAAGTCCCATAGGGATCAGTTTTGGGACCAATTCTTTTTACAGCCTATACCAGTAGTCTTGTGTCTCTGCTGGATGCTCATGATGTTGCCTACCATTTTTGGGCTGATGATACACAGCTCTATGTGCAAATGATAAATGTCGAGGATATTGAGAAGAAAATGAAATCCTTGATGTCTAGTACAGTACAGTATTAAGATTTCGATAGAGAGGAGAAAATTTAAGCTGGCTGATGGCAAAACCGAGATTATCGTCATCCAAGGATGTAGGATGGTGATGGCACAGATGATTTTGGCTCTTTAAACTTTGCGTAAGTACAACTCAGTCCTGTTGATTATGTTCGTAATCTTGGAGTGTACTTTGACCCAAAACTGAATTTTATAGAGCATATAAATTCAGTGGTTAAGAGTTGCAACTTTCATATTTGAAATCTATACGTATGCTGTGAAACAGTTTTTGAATAGACAGTGTCTCATGACACTATTACATTCACTTATTTTGTTTTGAGTTGATTATTGTAACTTTATGGGTCTGTCTACCTAGATATCTACTAAAGAAAGTTCAAGCAGTGTTGGATAGGGTTGCCAAGCTTATTTTTGCTCTCCCACCGAGGAATTCCACTACCCCATTTTTGATCAAATGGCACTGGATTCCAATTAAGGCTAGGAAAGAGTTAAAATTCTGCCTAATGACTTTTAAGGCACTTACATATTTGTCCAACCTTTTAAATCCTCTGACTACAAGTTCCAAAATGATTTTGTGTAGTAGTGATGATCCCTCGTGCCTTGAGCCTAGAGCAATAAGGGAATGTTCTTTTGCTGCTAGATCCCTTTCCTATGCAGCACCCTGATTGTACAATAGGTTGCCTGCATACACGAAGCAGCTGACTTCTGCCGAGGCCTTTAAGAACAACCGAAGACCTTTCTTCTTTTGAAAGCTTATGAATCAGAAGAAGCTATGGTGATGGAGAATTACAGGGTTTAGGAAGTGTTACAACTTAAGGATATATGACCAGTCACTTTGTGTGATCTTTTTTTGGTAGTACTACTTTTTCTTTTTTTTTATTCTCAGGTCCTTGACTTCATAGTGTTTCGAACAATAGTGAATTCTTTGGAAGAACTGGTGCAAAAGACTAGCTATTATTATTATTATTATTATTATTATTATTATTATTATTATTATTATTATTATTATTATTATTATTATTATTGTAATTATTATTATAATGAATAGCCAACCGTTTAAACAAGTAAATTTGACCCAAGTTTAATTATTACTGGGTGTTAATGATCTTTTACCAATATTATAAAGAATTTTCATATGACTAGATAGTATAAGAACAAATGACTTGTACTGTTTGTAAGAGAACAAATAACTTGCAATGAATGATTCATTGCACTAGTAATGTCTTCATGCTTTTTTTGTATGTTTGATTAATAGATAGTATGTACCTGTACAGTACAGTACAGTATGTTGTGTCATTTAACAATCAGCTAAGCTACTGCCAGCACAGATTTACTTTTTTTCTTGGATTTGTTGGTTAAAACCTGGTGATCTGTGCATAAATATACAGTAAATTTAGGCTTAAGTATTTTGCAAGATTTTGGTTGAAGATATCCACTGCCATTACCAGCTATAAACAAATGCTAAATATTGTGCCTGTAGTGAAACAACAAAATAATGGATTGATGTTGCTCTCTACACACAGTACCACAAGACTGCAGGCATCTTTAATACTTTGAAGGATTCACAGAACAGTACAGTACTGTACGTACATGTGATAAGAATACTATCTGATTTTATTATAAATTTCACACTGACAGATGGTAGCTTATTTTAACAGTATATTTTAATGTCATGTGGGTATTAAAACTATTGTTACTTTATTTTCTAGATCAGTTATCAGCTAACCCCTTGTGTATGGGGCTGCCTCTGAGCTGAATAAAATCATCTGGTGTTAGCCAAATAAAATTTTAAAAGTGGCATACCTGAAGTTAAGAGGTTAACAGTAATTTGGATGGCCATTTGCTTATAATAAACTCTGTCAGCTGTGACTGGAGTGTACAGGCAGCTGTTGAATGTACTTATGCCTAAACACATGCTAATGCTGGTCCAGCCCAGACTTGAAGGAGTTCACACTTGGTGTTGTCAAAGCATTTACTGGTACAGTACAGTACTGTATATTATTCAATGAATTAAAAGAGAAGTTTCATTCTTTTAATCTGGATTTAACTTGAAATAAACTACCGGTATAACAGACAAAAATACAGTACTTGTATATACCTGTTAATGGGTGATACAGATAAACTTTGCTGGTAAACACTGTTCTTTATACAGACATTTTAAAATCTTAATCCGTTTATATTTTTTTTAATTTTATCAGCATTATCACCTCATGTTTTGCCTTTTTTCAGAGTTGCATTAGTTCTCTACAGCTAGTGTCAGCACCTTCGGTAAAAGCATTGTATGTGTAAAACTTGGCTCTATTGAAGACATTGTAACCCAGGATTCAGCTTTGTAATTCGAATTGTGGAAAATCTAACAAATATTACAGTATTTTGTAAGAGACATATAAAAAAGTTGCAAGAGTTTGCATTGTTTCATTCCAATTTTCAATGTATTAATCATGGGTAGCAGGCAGGGCCCAAAGGTAAACATATTCAATTGTATCTGGCTGTCTGCATAAAGATAAAAAAATGGTGGATTGCTTTTCACAGATGTTGGGTAATCTTGGTGAAAGTACTGTAGGTTAAGGTCAGAGTCACCTGAAGTACTGTACAGGTATACCTCGATAACCGAAGCATATATGGGACTGTGAAAAGTTGTTGGTTAGTGAATCAATGGATATCAAAGCAATTAATCCCATAAGAATATAACAAATTCAGGAGGTTAGGGACCAGCCATCCTCCAAAAAACTCCCACCTACCCTTGATAGATCTCTGTCGTGCACAATGTCAAGCAAGAAAATATAGCATACATATAAAGCAAGCATAATAAGCATTAAATAAGGAATGTAAAGCATAAATTGAGACTTATTTACCTGACCTAACCTGACCTGACTTACTCTAACCTACCCTACCAAATTCTAAAATAGATATGCTAGGCCTCACCATTTCCTCGAATATGTCATGGAAATCACACATCCTCGA